AGGATTGTCCAGCGCTTGTGTGAAAGATTGTCCTTTCAGTGTTGGGAGAAGAGCTTAGGGATGAAGGGTTGGGGCTGGCGGTGAGCAGAGTGACATCAGCGTGGTAATGATGGGGTACATGGGACTGTCATGTTCCATATGTGAGAGCTCTGAGAGACCCTCCAAGCTTTCTCACTGGCTCGAAGTGTTCAAAGACAAATTAAGCAAAAATCACCGCACCCAGGCCTGGTAGTGTGTGCCTGACATCCTAGCGGAGGCAGGAGGATCCCAAGTTTAAGGCTAGCCTGAGCAACTTTAGGAAATGCTGTTTCAAAAACAAAAAGTAGGGGTGGAGAACTGGCTTAATCATTAAGAGGACATGGTGCTCTTGCAGAGGACCTGAGTTCAGTTCCCGGCACCCACACCTGGAGGCTCACAACTGCCTGCAACTCCAGCTCTGGTCTCTGCAGGACCTGCACTCCTGTACATATACCTACACAGACACAGATGCAGACAGACAGACAGACAGACAGACAGACACACACACACACACACACACACACACACACACACACACACAATTTTCTTTTTAAAGTGAAACATTGACTGCAGATGTAGTTCAATGGCAGAGCACTTGCTTAGGTCTTGGGTTCAGTTCCCAGTACCAAAGCAGTAGCAGCCGCAGCAGCAAAAACAAAACTATAGCCAGCCCCTGCCCTTCAAGCCCTCAGTGCCACCACGAAGACCCATATGTTACTTACTTCATACTGGTCTCCGGGACAGAGGCGAGCAAAGCCAGCCAGACCTGTAAGCAAGAGATTGGGCTGTGAGATAGAGAACACATTTCCCTTCTTTAGAGAGGGATTTGTCACAGATTAAAACCTCAAGTAATATGTGAAACTGGAGAAAATTCAGGTAAGATTTGGGACCGTCTTAGGAGCATAGCCTTTGCAGGGGATTCCATCCATCAAAGCTAGAGGGGACATTCCTTGATAGGTGGTTGGGGACAATGTTGGGTGGTTAGAACTCTGTGTACCTCTGGCAGATTTCAGGGTCAGGGCAGCAGAAAGATCTATTCTTTCACTGACCAAAATATTCCCATGAAGATAAACTGGCCTCTTGTTTTTCCTTCTGTCCCGAGATCTGTGACACTAGATACCTCCCTTGTGAGTCCTTGTCCCCACGCCCATGACTTGACTGAACACACTTGTTGCTCTGTTTTTCTCATTCTTTTTATACAGCATAATGATGCCACTGTTTACAGTTACAAAATTGCTAGAAATAGACTATAATGTACACAAAACTGGTGATTAAGAAAACAAACTAAGGGGCTGGAGAGATGGCTGGTTGAGGGGACCTCAGTTCCTCCAGAGGACCTAGGTTCAATTCCCAGCACCTCCATGGCAGATCACAACTGTCTGTAACTCCAGGATCCGACACTCTCACACAGACATACATGCAGGCAAAACACCAATGTACATAAAATAAAAATAAATAAGTTAAGAAAAAGATAACAAACCAAATCCAACTAACCAACCAACCAACCAACCGCCAACAGCCTCCACGCTCAACAGAAGAGGTGTGCCTGAGGGTTATCATTGGTGTGATAAACACCATAATCAAAACAACTTGGCTCCGGAGGAAAAGGTTTATTTGGCTGAAGCTTGCATGTCGCTGTTCTCACTGAAGGAAGTCAGGGCAGGAACTCCGAGGCAGCAGCTGATGCAGAGGCCATGGAGGGGTGCTGCTTACTGGCTTGCTCCCCATGGCTTGCTCACTCTGTTTTCTTGTAGCACCCAGGACCACCAGGCCATGGATGGCACCACCCACAATAGCTTGGGCCCACCCACATCAGTCACTAAGAAAATACTCAACAGCTGGGTCTTATGGAGGCATTTTCTCAGTTGAGGGTCCCTCCTTTCAGATGACTCTAGCCTAAGTCAAGTTGACACGGAGCTAGCTAGCACAAGATGGCTTTCCTTCTCCTGTGGCACCTGCAAGTCAGTTTGAAATGGATTTGCTCTCCTTGAGGTCTACTATGCACCCGTCTGGTTCAGCAGTAAGAACAGCTTGTCAGAATAGATGGTCATCATCTTGGGGCAGCTCAGGAGTTCCGACTTTGGTCACCCTTTATTCTTCCTATAGCTATTTACTGAAAGCCTACTATGTGCGGGTGAAAATATTTATTTACATTTTAGTTTTCTCAGGAAAAAAATGTATGACAAAAATTCCGGTGAAAAATTTAGCCCCGATGGTTTTCATGTGTGACCGTTGAGTCCTGGAAGGTTGTTTCATGTGTGGTTGTGTGTGCTGGTCCGTGTATACACGTGCACAGGTGTGCTGTTTGTGTGGAGGCCAGGGTTCGATGCCGATGATGCTGATACTGCCTTCCTCGATTGCTTCGCCCACCTTCTTTGTTGAGATAGGATCTCTCTTATTGAAACTGGAGGCTGCTGTTTGGTTAGACTGGCGGGCCAGCTGTCTCAACTCCCCCTGCCTCCTTCCCTGCCCTGCCCACCCCCACCACCAAGCTGGGATATAAATAAGTGCACGACACTATGCCCAGCTTTTTATGTGGATTCTGCAGATCCAAACTTGGATCTTTACGCTTGCTTCATGGTGTCTTCCTCGCCCTGGGTTGTGTTTCTTGCAAACCTCATTTTACTCATGAAACATAACAAGGATGATGTCACACTGTGTGTTTTACCTTCAATGAATGTCTCAGTTAATAGACTGTGAGAATCTGGAATGAAGGAATCTGCTTCCCATTGGCTTGTGGGCATGGTTATGAATAAGACCTGTAAGTTCTGGGAAGCTTCAAAATGGACCCAGCCTTTACCACCATTCGCCAGTAGATGGCAGCAGCTCACCAACTTGGCATGCCATTTATTTGGCGAGCCCATTCATCCAGGACCAGCTCTCACTAATGATTGGAAGCCAATGAGCCACTTAGGAGGACTCACTGTAACAAAAGCAGGATTGGAGGAAGCTATTTCCATGAATAGTTCCCCTCCGCAAAAACGCATCTGAAAGAAAGCATCGCCGGCTGGCTCTTAGGAATCCAAAGCCTGATGTGCTAATTCTAACACAACCCAGTTTATCCTTTGCAAACCTACAGATAATTAATTAGCTTGGGGTAAATCTGCTGCCTGTTTATGCATGCAGTGTCAATAGGGGCACTGCTTAAAAGAAGCGGACCGTGTACCATGCTAGATCAGGTGAGAAAAGGGGGGCAAGTCCTTTGAAGATCCCCCACTTTCTCAAAATGACCAGAGATTTCCTATGTGAAGAGCATCATGGGAGAGGGAAGTCTGTGGCCGTGATGGATTTGGGGCCTCACTGCCCATGTAATGAAAGCATTTTCGTGGCATTCTTTGCAAGGCGTCTCCCATCCTCTGGTGACATGATGACAGCAGGAGGGAGGACCCAGTTCCAGGGGATGCTGCTCAAAGCCCCCCAGGTGGTGGTGGCCATGGCACAGGCTCCAGAGTGAGCCGAGGCAGTGGCAGTGACAGCCTGTCTCTGGGGCCTGGCAGGGTTCTTTCGAGTCTGGCCCAAGGCCCTGCTGGCATTTCTACAGCTGCAGAAAGCTCAATGTTTTCTCAGCTGCTTGATAGTAACTGTTACACCAGCTAAGAAGTTTTCATTATGGCCACTCAGAAACCAGCCCTGGGTTCCCACTAATGGTGCACCCGGGAGGCCAGGAGCTAGGAGACTTGTGTATTCACATGGGTCCTCCATCTTTTCCAGTTTTTCAACATGCTCCCATGGTACCGATGTGGCCGCTCTTCCACAGCCTGAATGGAGGGAAGGGTGCTGTCCCTGTGTGACTATATGAATAGGAAATGTCCCCAGCTCACGTTTGAACAAACAGCTGGTAGCTCTGTTTTGAGGCGTTATGGAGTCTTCAAGAGTTGGGGCCTAACTGGGGGGAACCAGACACTGGAGTGTGGGTCTTGAGGTTTAGAGCTCTGCTCGCTTCCAGCCCCTGCTTGGCTTCCTGGTCCACTTGGAGGTGAACAAACCCTTGCCTCATCTGCAAGCCCCTCTGGCTACCAGGATTGAATACCCCTCCCACAATGGGTTGAATCCTTTCCCCTTAAGCCAGTTGCTGCTTTCAGAGAGTTTATCAAGTGGAGAACATTTTGCTGATTATACAGCCACGCGGCTATACAGTCACGCAGTTACCCACCCCGGCTCCTTCTGCTCAGACATGGTTTTGTCATAGGAGTCCTCCACTGTTTCCTGTTTCCGCCATGACCTTCCTAAGCGTGTTACCTCCTACTTCAAGGCAAATAGCCAAGCACCTAACAGCTGTGTGTCTTAACACAGACCTTCCTGCCCTATGTTCTCCTCCTCTGGCACTCAGGAGTTTTCAGAAGCTGACCTAACAGCTCCCCACAGCACCTCTACAGAGCATGCAGGCTGCAGCACTCTCCCTGTCGGCTTTGGGCAGCTTCCCAAATAAGCTCTCAGCTTATTTGTTCTAAGCCTAAGGTACCTCTAGGAAGCTCCCTCCACCCCAGCCCAGCCAGCCTCCCTTCAGTGGAAACCTCTTTAAGCCATTTTTTTTTTTCTTTTAAAGACAGTGTCTCACTCTGAAGCCCAGGCTGGTCTCAAACTCACAACAGTCCTCCTGCCTCAGTCTCAAGATCGTAGGCGTGAACCACCAAACCTGACTTAATTTTCCTTTCTGAGACACTTTACCCAATTTTCCTTTCTGAGACACTTTACCCTCCCCCCCACCCC